GACCCGCACTATCTTTACAATTGCAAATGCGATTACTGAGAAGTATGGAAAGGATAAGCAAGAGTCTCTAACTCTGGCAAAACGCCTGCTACAGAATCCCTCGACGAAGATAAACAAGTTTTTGCATCCTTCTAAAAGCAATTCATTATCTAATATTGAATGTCAAATAACAGCCTTTCCCAAGGGACCAAACGTGGTCGCGTACGAAATACCCATTGCGATGCTCATACCCGAGGAGGAAAACGAAATTTGCCTCTCCTTTACGTGTCCGTTTGTATTTTGCCAGGCATTAGGAGCCCTCATTTCGTTAAATATTAAACCAACTTCCCACAATGCATCCTTTAATTTTATTACCGATCTCCCCATTTGGAAGTCTGCACAAGATCATGATCAGTGTTACTCTCTGCAGCTTCACTTTACATCTGATAATGGGCTCGATACTTTTATGATGGAGAGTGCATTTACATATATCGCATCTCATGGTGGTAAAATCAGTGAGTGCATCATCCCATCGTTCCCATCAGCCCTTTTTGCTTGTACGAGCATGAGTGGGGTTGTCCATATCTACCTAACTGTAAATGAGGACTCTTTTTCCTCCATTACTAAACCAGTACACGTAAATTCAAATGGTGAAAGCTGGACGTGGGAAAATGGGACGGTAGAAGCACAACTTAGCGCATCAGAGCCGACATTTTTATCTGGTGTATTCTGCGAAGCCTTATGGCCAGAAAGCAAGCGACATTTTTGCACCCTTTTAGTGTTTCCCGAGGAATCCGAAAAAACGGTTTTCCTCGAGGTGCACGTTAGCGAAGTTCTGTGTGGAATCCATTCTTCCAGTTCGACACACACAAGAATGTTAACACGAAAATCATTTAGCCTTGCAAGTGGTGAAATTGTCACACTTGGATTTTCAACCGAAGAAGAGTTCTTTATCTTCGACGCTAATAATGCAATTCGTTGTCGTATTGAGTTAAGAGAACTGATGAAGTCTGACAAGTCTTCTTCCTTTCGTGTGGGCTTTGTTTGTGCGGACCAAGAGCAAGTGACCGCTATTCTCACCGCTGATGAGTGCTATAAGAAAAGCTCAAGCTTTTCGAACTTCACTAGGGTATCCAGCTGCATTATGAATGATTTTTATATACCGGTCTGGAGCTCATTTGACCTTTTGCGAGTAAAACTTTCTAAAGATAAATCGGTAGCCAGTTGCTCTAGCGAAGTTGGGGGTCAGGCTGTGCTTGGCTCAGTTATCCCAAGCCGAGGTGTTTCAGTATTTGTGATTAGAATTGAACGATATGACCGCTCTATTGGGTCTCCTTTAGGATCTGGGCATTTTGCGGGAGTGTCGGGCCCCCCCTTCGTCACAACCTCACCTCTATACAGCGAACTCAAGACATTAGAAAATCTTTGGGTTGTCCAGGATATTCAAGATGGTGACTCGTTACCACTCCAAGAAATTATCCCACCTATTAAACGTGACAGGAAAACAAATGAGCTGTTCTGCGTAGGTACAAGGCTCCTTTTTATTGTAGATCAAAACACAGGTACATTATCTTTAGCTCGTGATAACGAATCACCTTGTATAGTTTTCCGAAATATCCCACGTGGTTTGTGTTTGCGTCCATTTGTAAGGCTTGATCACTCAAAGTCATATGCTACCTTGACTCATTTTTCTCAAAGAAGTCTCTGTAGCCCATCCTACTACCCTTCCTTGGAGGAGTCCCTTTTGTCTCACCCCATCACACCAACCTTTTTGCGACGTGTTCCTTTGCCAATAGTGCTCAAGTTGTTTCCCATTATGCGCGATGTGATCAATGTCATTCCTGAACATCGTATGTGTGCCTTTGAAAATTTTTGGAATGACGCAAGCGTTCATTCTCGATTTGAATATCGCATGTGCAATGCGATCGCAACAATGGTTGAGTTGGGTGCTTTTTCCCGCGCGATGCTTTGCTGTGATTCAGACACGGTAACAAAGTTCATGGGACGTGCACCAATGAAGAGAGTTATGGAATTGCTTTCCACCATTCCACCGTATGTGATGGCAGTATTTCCACCTTATCATCAGGATAGTTTCTCTGGAGACAACTCCGCGGTGTATTTCCGTTTGCCAGATAATTATGAAATCGTGGGAGCTGTTGAGGGAACCGACATGATTCGCCTTGTACACATTGATGCTTTAAAAGGGATTACTGAGAGAACTTTGTATCTTATTCGCCTTGAATGCCATAAATCGGCGCTTTCATTATGCAATGACGTTTCACCGCATTGCTCTGCCGTTCAGAAGCACATGATTCTAAAACCTTTAAACAATATATCCGCCTGCGGCGTAATTATCGATGGGTGGTTCAACTGCACACTGGCAACACTCAATGTACCACTTGAGCCCAAACAAATGAGAAAGATTGCCGTAGCAATTCTGTGCGGGGTAGAGCACTGGCATTTACACGGTACTGTTCATGGACATCTACTACCAAAAAACGTTCTCCTGCGCATTGAAAACAATATCTTCATTCGCTGTGCAATTTGGAAGGCTCATTATCTTCATCACACAAGCCCATATGCTTCACCAGGATTGCAAGCAAGCGGTGTGCGCGATATCCAAGGTGATTTATGGGGCTGCACAGAGTTGTACAGGCGTTGTTTAAGTTCATATTTACATGATTATCCTATAGTGGAAAAGGTGTTTGAAATGCTCAGAAAGAACAATTTGAGTATTTCAGATGTTTTGGATGAAGGCAAAGCGTTTAAAGATACCACAGAGGGTAATGGTGAGGGTCCAAGTTTCACGCTAAGAATAGGAGCACGGCTGCGGGGTGGGTCGGGTTCCTATAATGGCATCATGTTTGATGTATTGGCAAAGAGCACTAAAGTTCGACTGACAAAGTTGACATTTTTTCCAGACACCACAACAAATGCAGTTGTTACTTTGTTTACTCGTGATGGAACATTTCTAGGGTTCGAGGACGATCCATCTTCTTGGAAAAAGATTCTCGAAACTCAGATGTTGCTATCTGATAGCGTTGAGACGGTATTGGAAGGATTTGATCCAATCACCATATTAGCGTGGTCACGAGTGGGACTGTTTATTCACACGACGAGTGGCAGTGGGGTGCTTTTCTATTCCGAAACAGAAGGGGTGACAGCTGGGATGGGTCAGGTTGGGGAGGACAGCAGCGGTATTAGTATTAGCGTAGGAAAAAAAAGCGAAAGTAACAAACCGTTCACTGCGATTCAAAATCAGAAGCGACTGCTGAAAGGCAGCATAACTTACACATTAATAACAAGATCTAATGGTCCAAGAAGTAGCTTAATTTATGCGTGTGAACCCAACACCACTATAATGAAACATCTTCTACAGCAAATGCTAAATCCAGTAGTTGTACGTGATAGAGGTCATGGTTTTCGAATCATATTGTCTAGCAACCGAAAAGAATCATTGGTGATGCTTGAAGCAGGAAAGTATGAGTGGGTCGTCACTGAAAATGTTAGCCCCTGTAATTTTACTGAAGCAGACTCAATACCAGAAGAACATCGGGCCTATATTTCTGAAAGACAGCTTGATTATTATGAGCAGTCTATTTTATCTATTCAATGCATGAAGTCACCATGGGGGAGCTTGAGACCACTTTCATTTATGAAATTGAATGAGAACAGTACGGCGATTATGCAGTACATCTCGTCTCCAGAAATTCTGCCAAATACAATCTGGATTTCAGAGAGATTGACGAAAAGCTGCGTTATATCGTTGTGGTTTTCATTGAGACAAAGCAACGTTGGTGTTTATGTGTGTTATGATAATGGTGATCCGTTTCATCTAAATAACTTTGTTCGTACTCATATTAATCCGAATATTAATGTATCGAAAAATTGTAGCCACGTTTTTTTTCATATTGATATGGAATTGGGATGCGTTTTTGTATTGAACCATACCAAAGCGGCAAAATGTGCTTTGCAACCATCCGAAAATGTTGCATTTCGCATTGTGGTGCACTCGCTTGCTGAAGGGACAATAGTCGAAAAAAATATGACAAGCTTGCACGTGTTTGCTTATGTGAATATTCCTTATGATGAAAATTGTCATCGCATTGACAGTGATTCTGTTATGTTGTTCTTAAACAATACTGACAGCACCATCATATCGAATGTTAGCGGCGTTTCGATTAAATGTGACCGTTCATTTATAGAAAACGTGACTAAACTAGCATTCGTACCTATTACAGGATTGCCTTGTCGTGTTCACGTTACCGAGCTTGTCACTGACGCAGACAACAGAGGAGCTATAATAAGTAGGATCACAAAAGAGATAAAAGGGGAAACATTCATGCAGTTTCCCAAGCTAATTTCGTCCCCCCTGCTT